ACCCACCCACCCACCCACCCCCCCGCACCAGCCCATCCGCCATTCGCCCGTTCACCAAGAGAGAAAAGGAGAGACGCCGAAACACATAATATGGCATCTTCTCCGGCCGGTCCCTCACTGTCTGTACGAATCGCGAGACTTCCGCCGGTGAACTACGGCACACAGCAGCTACTTTCAACTGGACTCCCAAACTCTTATCCCGCAGAACCAGAGCCCCGATGGGCGGCATTGGTGGGACTGCGAGGTTAAGCAGGCAAGTTCGTCGGCATATGTCCACCGCGCGGCTTGCAGAGGGAAGACACGACTGCAACAGGCGGAATGTCCACGGAGATGAGCGATCACACCAGCCAGCAATGCTCTCTGATTTTCTTCCGGAAACCTCATGGCACTGGCAGCGAAGATCTGCGGTTCTCGTCATAAGCGGTCCCAAAGAATCATTTTTGGCTCCTCGTCCGTGTGCTTCTCGTGCTCAAGCATCGACACCAGAAGCTTCGCGCTGGCGTACTGAAACGTGTGATACAACACAAGGCCCAAGAAAGGAATGTAAAAAGCCACAAGTACGACAGTGCCGAAGCCGCAAAGGAACCAGCCGTGCCGGTACACAAAGATCCGTTCTTGCTTATAACTCAGGCGATATGTGTACTCACTCAGCAGCTCGGTGCTCAAAGCGACCGAAGCTATGTACCACTCATAGAAGCGCAGGAATGCTGTGGCTACCCCGACGTTGTCGAACATGAGATAGGCCACAACGAGGTTCCTTGACTGCTGGGTCAACGGCTAGGATTCCTCAAGTGTCCCCTAAGACTCAGCAGAAACACCTAAAGGTAGGAGCTGCACCATACCTGTCCGAAGCACCCTAAAGCCGCAAGTGTAAGAGATACTCCAAGGTGCGCCAAGAGCATCAGGAGATTACTTCGATTCCACAGCCGGGCGTGAGGCGTCGATGGGCCCGCAGCACCCGGCTGGCCCTTCTTCCCATACTTAGGGTCGGCAAAGACCCGGACCTGACAGATTTAAGCTTCCAGTCCCTCCGCGCTGGAGAGATCTAAAAGTACTGGTCCGAGGCTGGACTGAGCCTAAGCTATGCAGAGGCATTGGAGGCTGTTTCGCGAAGAGGCTTTCAGGTCTCAGAAACCCTTCCGACCTTCCTGTAGTACTTGGAGTATTGGGTGTAGAACACCGTGAAGACGCTCAACGCGTGCTGCAACCGTCGGAAGCCCATTTTCAACAAGAAAACCACCACGGAGAGGAGTACCAGCTTGCCGATGGACTTCAGGGAGGCGAGCAGCCACATCCAGTACCTGACTTGCAACATAATTTCGTCAACACGTCGCATCGGCTTATAGCGTCAAATCCCCTCTGGTGTGTTCACTGAACGAATCTGAACGAACGAAACCCCAGTTCTCAAAGGTGATAGCATCACGAACATACCACCATGGTGCATCGCTTACCAAAAGAAGAAATGGACGCACTGCTGACTGAACCATGCAGGCAGGCCGAGCAGAAACAAAGCCTCTGTCTGAATGTGAACGTGACCGTGTTGATCCTGTATCCGACAAGCCAGTGCTTCCGAAACCCAAGAAACCTTCTAACCTCGAAAGATGTGCAAACACTTGCGGTACAAGGCAGGTAATATAGGGGCTCTAACAATTATATAATAGAATGCTGTCTTGTGTGGGATTTAGGGCTATATTCTAGTATTACAATCACAATAATTACAAGGAAAATCTCTGAACAAGCATGAAGTTACTTGGAGCAGGGATCGCCTTCCTTTAGGGCGTTTGGGCTCTGCGGTTTCCGGCTGGGGGGCTTCGTTTACAGTTTACATGACTCTTTCGTAAAGCATATCGTTATAGGGGGCTTAAGAGGAATTGTAACTGTCTGCTAGTCTTTACTGCTTTGGTGCAGTCTCCGACGCCTACTGACCATCAAAACCAAAGGACCGAGACACCCCTAAACCTTAAAACCCTAAACCCTAAAACCAAAGGACCGAGACACCTGTCCGACTGCACAGGCAGGTTGCAGAGGCCTTCCCGAAGCCTGGGGTACTGCTCCTGCACCGAGCCAAATCCGGGTTTCAGAAAGTGTGGGTAGGGGGCCCTCTTATGGACCTTAGCAGGATGCACGTTGCAATGATCCTCAGCGAGTTCAAGCGCCTCTTCTGTTTAGACCCTATCCTTAGACGCATGACCCCAACGGCATGCTCACTCTGTAGACCGACTAGACAGGAAAGGCCTGACCACACGGCCAATCCATCTTGTGTTATGCATGTGTTAGGATTCTACAGCATTCACCAGCATGTGTTGTCCAGGCCACTATGCAACACAACCGCGTAAACTTATGCGATCATCGGATCTGCTTGCCGACGTCACATGTTGCGATAGATCCGAGTGTCAGAGCAATTCGATCTGAGTCTCACGAGGCTTTATGTGCACGGTCCCTGAACGTCGTGAAGCTAGTTCCCATGTAGTGTCTCAATCAAGGGAGCAGCGGCGCTGATGATGCTTAGCTGCTACAGGCTTAGCTATAGCCACGTCGACATTTCATAAATCCTGCTTACAACTTCCCCTGAAGCTTCAAGCAAAGGGTTTGCGACACAGAGACGTGGGCTGATTCGGATCTAGGATCCCAGCTGTCGAGCTTTTGGGAAGGGTTCCCACCCCCCACACAACAAACAAAGCGGTCCAACAGCTGTATGGAATCCGTATGGAGCCCGCTTACATGTAACATCCCAGGACAACCCTATCAACACAAAGCCACTGGTCCAGGTGTGAGAAGAAGGGCTTGGAGCTGAATAGCATCAGATTCCTTGAGCGGAGATTGCCAAGGCTTCGTGGAAGAGCTTTGAATCAAGGGCTTAGGGTGTTGGGTTTTAGGGTTTAGGGTTTAGGGTTTAGGGTTTAGGGGCTTGGGGTATGGATGGGTTTCGGGTTTAGTTTAGGGCGGCCCTGCTTGAGAGAGTTTTGGCTTATGATCTCACTGCTCATGTCGGCGAAAGCAGCTGTCGGGTCAGCCGTACCAAAAGCCTCAAAAGGAGGTAAAATGATGGCCCAATACCTGTAAAAGGTTATTATTCTACATACTTTGCAAGCTCAGGTATCTGTCTCTGTGGGTTCGGAACCGATCGGCCGAGAAGCCGCGCCAGGAAAAGGACGATTAGCGGCAGGTACCAGCACGCATCAAAGAGGAGGTTGTAGAAGGTGATTTGGCTGTGGACAGCGGCGGCAGGTTGGTTCCACTCCGGCTTGGCCAAGAAGATGATCAAACGAGCAAGATAAAACAAGAGGTGAACAGGTATTAGCAGAATCCCACACACCAAGCTTGTCACCAATACCGAGATCAACAAAGTCCTCAAGTTGCTTGTGGTGTATCTTTGCTGGGCTTGCCTGTGACTTGTCCAAAAATCGTAGCATCCAGAAATGTTGGCCGCAACACCGCAGCAAAGCTGGTGGGCACCACTGGCGACGGCTTTCTGCAATGACATGGCCCCAGAACTCCACAGCAGTGTCTGCGGTGGCTAGAAGCTCAAGCCTGCGGCGAGCCTACCCCTGACTCCCAAAGCCCAAAGCCTCATCACTCATGCAAGGCATGCACCGAGCAGTGGCAAGTTGTGTTGGAACTGGCGCACTGCTCCCTGATTGCCCGACACAGATCCCGGACTGTAGGCAGCCGCCGGAATTGTTCCGTAGAAGCAGCTTACTTATTGGGGGAGGCTGAGTCCGCGGCATGTAGGCGTGAGTGTTGGGTAGGCTGCGACATCTGCTGCTGCGGCACCGTATGCTGTGGCATGCGGGGCATATGATGTGCCTGCAACGGCTGTTGCGGCAATTGCTGCGCTTTCGCTTGCGACGGCGAGATGTGTGGTGGCTGCCCCGCCACCTGCGGCAATTCACTGCAGGTTCGAATGGAGACCGGGGTAACAATTGCATAATCAATTGGTGCTCGTGGTGCCCGACCGGACTAAGAGCAAAACCTCAACAGATCCCAGGAGCCTGGTAAGTGCAGCCCAAGTCATGTACTTGAAGAGGCAAAAGAAACAGCGCTCGCGCCTGTGCCAAAGCACCCGCGTAGGCATGAGCCTCCCAAAAGACAGGTGGGTAGTTCTCTAAATCAGGGTCCTTTTAAGGAAACCCCAATAGTACCCCACCCTAGTACAAGGAACCCTATATGGGAACGTAATTTACGGAAGTAATCCAGGTGTTGCTTGCCTGCCAAAAACCGAACTTATGGATGCTCACAGCTAATGCTGCAAGGCTTTCTGACAGGCCCGGAAGGTTTGGCTTGGTGTTGTACAGGCTAGCTTCCCACAGATCGCAGCGTCTGACACATGAGTCATACGCAGAGGACGTACGCTTTCTTGCACGAACACTCACACTGCAACCCTGAAACCGACAGTTTTGCGGTGTGTGTTCATAAGCGGTGGCGACACAACGGAACCCCTGATTATTCGCTGGCTCATATTGATACAAGTGTCCTTTCCATCACGGACGCATGATTCCACCTCCCTACTCCTCGCATGAGATGCATCACTCAATGACGGGCCCGACGAATTGGCACGAAAATGAAATGCCAAATCGTTGCAGCACTCAGGGAACCACGACCCGACTCTGGGAGTTTCGGAGAGCAAGGACACCCAAAAGATGCCCTGAAGAGCGAGAAGCTTCAACGGTAACCCCACGGCTTCCAAACCCCAACCCTGCTGCGAACTCCAAGGGAAACTCACAGCACCGGGGTCCTGAAGTCCTCCAAAAGTTGCATTCAACGTTTCACTGTGTTCGCTTTCCAAAAGTTTCGACTGCAGTCCGCTTGAAGGCTCGATCATGCACACCCGTGATAGCCCTAAGGATGGTAAGTAGTTATATAGCTACGACAGCAATTTTCAACAACAGCCGAGGAAGTGGCCACACACTGCTCTTGTGATATCTGATAAGTTCCCGCCGGGAACCTTCCAGTTTTCCGGGGCAACTGGTTTGCCCATGCTAGGCTTCATGCAATCAACCCTAAACCCTAAACCCTAAACCCTGAACTGTAGGAGTCCCAGATCTTAAGGTGTTTACGTGCGCAGCAGGTCCCTGTCAGCCATGTCAGGGACGGTTTAGGGTTTAGGGCTTAGGGCAAAGAAGATGTGCGGCAAGGCCCACTCGCGTCAGTCAGAGCTGCAGATCATGTGTTAGCATGGGCGGATCAGTTTGTCGAATGCTTCCGCCTCAACCCTAAATCTAATGCGAAAAAGATCCGAAGGCCTAAACTCCTCAACTTGTTGTATAAGTTTTAAACCTAGTCGGCTCCTAAAATGCTCTACATCTGCTCGGTGGCTTGAGTCAGTAAGCAGGCGTACTCATGCAGCAGGCGCTGCAGGGGTCTCGACCGAACATTCAAACATTCCCTGGTTGGGCTACGTTAAAGATCATGCTATGTAAGCCAGTGTAGGAGACACCGTGGCCTACAGTATGGCATGGCTCGCTGCGAAAGCATGGTTGAACTAGGCCTGCAAAGCAGACACCAGATCGAGCTGTGCGTTGAGAGGGGGACGATGCGCCTGTCAAGCTGAAGAGAAATCAACACGCAACCTGAAGATGATTATGGTCGCCGGCTTTATCATCATCATGACCATGATGACTGCTGAAGACCCTGGCGATGATGAGATGGACGGGACTGACGATACCGATGATGATGCTTCAGAGTTGTGCCACAAAGCAAAATCAATAAGACACTTTCCAATTCGCATAGGTAGTATAGCAGTCGTATGAGTCTGTTTTACAAGCTTCGTCTCAAGTGCAGTATACAATCAAGCTCAGCATTCCAGATAGGAAGTGCAGACAACTACAACCACCAACACATCGTCGTTTCCGGTTACCGGTTGTTTTCCGTACAGAGCAAGCTCACTAGGTGGAACCGTCAGTTGTCGCTCGCATTCATGTAATCTGTAAACTTCTAGCAACAAGCTGAGAAGCATGGGATAAACAGCCAGGTGCTGCAACCCAGACTTTCGAAGCATTAGCTGATCCAGTCTCCGAAAAAGCGGCTATCTAGGAAACCCATGGATACCACCTATAGTCTCCATTGTAGTTCCTTTTTTTGGTTTAACCAAATAATTAATATATATATATATATATATATATTAAGGACTCTATAAGGTATCCCCAAAAAGGAACTACAATGTAGACTATTGGCAGGCCCTGGCCAGGCTCCGACTGCAGCACTTTTCAAGCAATCTGCTGCGCCGCCCTTAGGGCTCGGTCTCGCAGAACCGAGCGAGGATTCCGCAAGCGGGCAGAGCCCCGGTCGTCCTCATCCTCGATGTCGCTGTCTGAGACGTCGCTGAGAGCCTGGTCGGTGGTGCTGCTTTGCCAGCGGCCGCGGTTCAGCACCTGTACTTTGGGTGCTCGGCTGGTAAAAGTGGATTCAGAGAAGGAGGCCGCACGGGCCGCTCCCGGATCCAAGGAAGCGATGAGCTTGGAAACCGTGAGTCTCAGCTTGCCTTTCTGCACGGCTTCGTGAAGATCTCTTAGGTGGACGGAGTGCATGGCCCAGCCAAGCTGAAGCAGCTGCCGCCGGCGCAGCTCCGCCGCACCCGTCACCCGATTAGCTGGCACTGTCAGGTCCTGTAGGTCCAGCACATCAATGAGGTGTCTCTGAGCCCGGAAAGTAATGGGGACGCGGTGGCAGCCCACAATTGCCTGGGCCTGGTGTGGCACGTGGAGTTGCGACAAAGTAACCGTAAGCCAGGTCTCGTAGCTGTACCTGGCTGCAGCAATCTGCTTTCGCCGCCGCTCTGCTCGGCGTGGCTGCTGGCGAAAATACTGATCCGGCCGTGGGACTTCGAGAGCTAATTCCAACCACTCCTTCACATCCGAAGACAGCTGCGAAGACCTGAGGAAGAGAGGTCGTTGCTCCGTCAAGAATGACAAGCCCAGCTACTACTGTATGCCCTCCAGCAGCATAGTCAGAGCTTTATCTCAACTTTTTTACACCCCCAGCAGGCAGGGCGATGGTAGTTTCGCAAACCTACGGCTCTACCGGCTGCAGACCAGGAAGAACTTGCAGGCCGAAGGAGCTCGGTGTTGCCGATCGCCTTGTTATGCAGCTGCCAATGCAATGCCACCTCCTTCGAACTTGGAACACGGGAAGCTTTGTTCAGAAGCTACAGTAGGTAGCAGGCGCTATCTTTGCCTGCCCAAGCGCCTTCCCTCGCTCCCTCTGTAGACTTCTATTCGGGATCTCCACCGCGCCTGCATCTGGTGCATCTGTGTGTATACGATCAGGGTGCACTGTGTTATCTGTGTCTGCTCATGCGTACACTATATGTAGACATACTGCGACGCTGCATGCCTGGCCGGGCCTGGCTGCAAGGACAAGCTGCATTTACCCAGACGAAGCAAACACAGCAAGATACACTTCGAGACCGTGCAAAATCTTGCATGTCACCATGGACGGACTTCTGCGACATCAGACCATGGCCAATGTGAACGGTGTCACGGCCACATCTGGACGTTTAAGGATCCCTTGTCGTAAAATTAGCATCAGCCCGCCGATCCTGAAGCTGGCGCAGCCCGCTGCCACACCAATCTTGCCTCGTGACGGGATGCTGAACACACAAAAATGGAGCGAATCCAAGAAATTTATCATGCTACAAGGAGTGGTTTTGTGTGTCGAATATACTTTCTACATATATATATATATATATATCTGTCTGTATGTATGTACGTATGTATGCATGTATGTAGGTGACTATGTATACATATATACATATGCATATATATATATATATATATGCACACGCAAGCAAACGAACACACAAGCAAACAAACAAGCAAACGAACAAACAAACACACAAACAAACAAACAAACAAACAAACGAACAAACAAACGCAAGTATATACATACATACATACATACATACATACATACATACATACATACATACATACATGCATGCATACATCCATACATACATAGATACATACATACTACTTAGGTACATACAAAAACACATACATACATACATACATACATACATACATACATACATACATACATACATATATATATATATACACACACACACACACCCTGTCTTGTGTGTCTGTCTGTCAGTCTGCCTGCCTGCCTGCCTGCCTGCCTGCCTGCCTGCCTGCCTGCCTATCTGTCTATCTATGCACGCGTGCATGCGTTCACTTCGGTATTACTGTTGCTGTGTTTGCGTGCGTGCATACCCGTGTCCACGTATGTCATAACGAGCATGTCTGCAAGTATGCGATATGTAAATGTACATGGATGTCGGTCTGCATCGCATGCATATAAGTGCCTCCGTAAGTGCGCATGCATGCACCGAATTGGGCAAGGAGTCGACCGTGGAATGCGTGATTCGACATGCGAGTACAGGGTTCAATATGCGATTACACAGAGGCGATATCTGCCATGCTTCCAACTTCAGTGCATGGAAACCACCCTCGGCTTAGTTGTCAAAGCATTGGCAACCCGTGCTTGCAAATCTTGTTGTGTATATTTATAAGGACCCTGACCGGGGTTAGGTGGGGAGGGGGGTAGGGGGCCTGCATATCAGGAATAAGGACTTGAAGAGGCATATTTGAAGAGGTATAGTCCCCTACGCCCTACCCCCGTCCCCCCAATCCCTCTAAGAGTCCCTATGATAAGGGCTTGCAAATACATGCAGGTCTGCAGCTGTAGCCAAGCTGCGGAAACTGCCCCTGCAGGCTCGAATGCCTTGACAGCCACAGACACTCTGCTAACTTCCACAAGCTGTCCTGCATCCCTAAACCCTGAACCCTTACAAATCCTAAACTCTGAACATTTATCAAAAGTGACCCCCTCTAGCCCAGACCCTTATGAATCCTAAAACACTTACAGACGCCAAACCCCTAAACCCGAACTCCTCATCATCTGCAAAATACTCAACCCTAAAACCCTACAGACACAAACGCACACACACACACACACACACGTAGCCTAGTGCGTTCGTGTGCTGCCCGAGAGCAGCTCCGAGAGAAGCGCCAGCGGCGGTTCCTCGCCGAGGACAGCACTGGCCCAGGCGAGGCGGAGCAAGGGCCTCCGGTAAAGGGCTTAGGGTTCGGAAGCCCTTTGGAAGCGGGTGTTGAGGGTAATGTTATTATGTTTCACTATAGTAGAACTATATGGCAAGTATGCGGGGATATAATTTCTCATCAACACATCCCTCAAAGGGTTAATACTCGAGTTACGGAAGCAAGGACGTAGTAAAGGTATCTGAGGTTCGATACTTCGAACTAGCTGTAATGTAGGGGCCTAAATAATGACCTACACTATTCTGGGGAGGTTCCTTATTAAAATTGTAGTATAATGGGCCCCAAAACCCTATTCTAAGTATCAAGGCCCCTATATGAATTCGGAACAAATCAAACGCCAACTGCAGTGTCAGATTCGAGTCGAGCATGGTCTCGTATTCGCTCACGTTGCACTGCAACACCGAAACCCAGAGGGTCCATGTACCTAAATAGTATATACATTGGCCCTAAAGTACCTATATAGGGACTACATTAAGGCCAATGTATACACTATTTGGGCACATGGACCCTTAGGGAAACTATCAAGTCAGTACGGCCTGTTATACAACGGCCCGAAAATACATCTCCTGGCTAGTTGCGAGAGTTGTCAGTGGATTTCAATTCCCTCTTGGGATCTCACAAAGAATTGATACTGCGCATCATACCTATAGTCTCCATTGTAGTTCCTTTTTTTGGTTTCACCAGTTATTTAGTAAGGATTCTATAAGGTATCCCCGAAAAGGAACCACAATGGAGACCATAGGTATTCTCCTCCATATACCCCTCCAAGAGTGCCGCACAGGCGCGTTGGGGCCGGGCGTGGCTGGAAGGCCGGCAGAGGCACCTTCTCATGTAACACTGCTTCGTTGCTATTGCCGGTGTTGGTTTAGGGTTTAGGGTTTAGGGTTTAGGTGTTGCAGGAATCCCATGACCTTTCACACCAATGCCCGCTTCATCACATTGATAGAAGACACGGACGGGTTCATTACTCCGGCCCTTTGGGAACCACAGTAGGCCCTAGGGAGGAGATAGAGGTCACCAAAACAGTTATAACTCTTAGACTTTCTGAATGCCCAAACGGAACTTCGGGGTCCCACGCTCCTCGGAACCATGTAACACTTCGATCCCTAAGGGTCCATGTGCCCAAATAGTGTATACATTGGCCTTAATGTAGTCCCTATATAGGTACTTTGGGGCCAAAGTATACACTACTTGGGTACATGGACCCTTAGGGGATGCAGCTTGAAGCAAGCCCAGAAGCCCCTTGAAACCTCAAGCTCTTCACCCCTCTGCCACCTCGTCCTCATGCAAAGGCAGCACACCCTCTGCTGCAGGGTACAGGCGCCTCCTGGGCAAATCCCCAAACTCGTATCTCTGCTGAAAGGCCCCTGAAAATCAGCATGAAACGTGTACTACTATACGTATTGTAAGGACACCTCAGCAATTCAAGAGTATGAGGGCCACAATGTTAACGAGAAGCGGTGCGCTAGTCTTGCCTTGAACTCTAGCCAAAGTGGAAACTGGTCTACGAAATTCCACGACTTAGCAGGCTCACGAGGCACAGTGGTTATATATATATATATATAGAAACATGCATGAATGCATGCGTGCATGCATGGATGGATGGATGGATGTGTGTGTATATATATATACATGTATATATATATATACACATGTGTCCATCCATGCATCCATGCAATACGCAAAAGAAGTCCAGGCTCAGAAGGTCTCGACAGAATCGGCGATTCCATTCCTGGAGCAGTCACAGGCAAGCATTGTTGGGCCTTTCGGTTCAGCACACAGGAGCAAGCCTGGGAAGTGGGAACCTCAAAGCGAACCTCATAGGCAAGAAACAAGAGTTGGCATACAATGTTCGTGAAACATGGGGCTGACATGATTCAGGGGATCAGGTTCCTAGGGCTGAAGATCACGTCATGCAACGAAGATGCAGCGAGCAATTGCATGACGACAGACGGAAGAAGTATAGTGCTATTCTGGAATGGTCTGGATGTGTTCTCGCTCGAGATTCTCGTTCGCTTTGCAGACAGCTTGGTGCCACATACATGCCATGCACAAAGCTTGCGTTGCCTTATTTGCCATACATGGTGCAGAAGACACAGTAACACTGGCACACTGCGGTGCTGCAGGTGGCTTAGTCACACATGTCGCAGTCTACGATAGGCTGAGTGGGCAAGTTGGTGGCCCCATCGAGGCCCAAGTTCTCCGAGAGGAGCCGACATCTGCAGACACGCGTAAGTCCCAAGCATCTCCAAGAACAGCACAGGAACTGCCAAACCCCGATCATGCTGAGTCCAAGGTCCTAGCTCATCCAACTCTTCTGGGGTTTAGTACTGCAGATGAAAATGGCGATTCGTAAGATTGAAGCTAAGATACTTGGATGAAAACTGTAACAAGGCTCGATTTGCCAGGAGAGTTGTGCGAGCGACCAGGCAAGGTCTGCACAGGAATCTGCAGACAAACGCTCCAGCTCGGCCTGGAATGTCAAGTTTAGGTTTCAGGGTTTCAGGTTGAGGATCAGGTCGTAGGTATTTAGGACCGGAGAGAGGGCACCTATCTTGAAATTCCTTTCGTTGCTGAAACTGCTTAACCATATTGTTAGGGTCCAATACTGCATAGTTGGCTTAGCAAAAGAAGGAGCTGCCATGGAGAGACTACAGGTAGCATCAACATGGCAGTGTCGGCCCAGCCTGAGGGCTTGCCACCAGCACGTCGAGCCAAGCCTCGCAAGCTTGGCAAGAGTTGCCATCGAAATTAAAACGGTTTGGCGGTCTAGGGTCTAGGGGGGGGTTTAGGGTTATGGGGAAAGAAATCAGCTACCATCATCCAGATTCAGACGCCCACGGTCGGACCTGTACCAGTAGCTTTGTGTTGAAAAGTCGGCAGCATCACCATGACCAGCACCAGGTCGGGACACGATGTCGATGTTGGAACCCTAAACCCGAAACCTTCAACCCTAAAGCTCATGCGTGGAGGGCATAGTGTCGAAGGCCGACCAGCACCAGGTCGGGACACGATGTCGATGTTGGAACCCTAAACCCGAAACCTTCAACCCTAAAGCTCATGCGTGGAGGGCATAGTGTCGAAGGCCGACAGGCGAGCCAAGCGAGCAAACTTGACAAGAATCCGAAACCTTACCTATAGTCTCCATGGTAGTTCCTTTTCTTGGTTTAGCCAATTATATAATTAGGGTCCTATAAGGTAACCCGAAAAAGGAACTACAATGGAGACTGTAGGTACCTTCTGAATCTGATGCCACCAACACTTCGGTGTCAAGCGGAGATGCTGACACAAGCTCATGCATGCCCACATGCTCATTCATCGCAAGTTCGGCCGGAACAACAAATGTTCGGGGCCCAGTGTGGCCAAACAGACAAGATGCAATTGCATGGGAGGGGGGGGGGTTGGGTGGAGTTTTGGGAGCAGGCACTCACGCCAAGACTGTTCGCAACCGCAGGCAAACACTTGCCAGCTTGCGTTTTTGACAGGACTGCAGCTGCCGTGTCCAAACCAGGCAACTCACGGGGCTGATGCCGACAGGCTGGAAACGTGACGAGCCTGAGGATTAATCAAGCTCGGCAGAGGACGGGATCAGCGATTGATCTGAACCTCTTTTTGAAGGAGGGTGCCCTTCTCTTTTATGGAAGTTGTAGGTCTGACAACAAGCTGAGATCCAAGGAGCAGCCCGAGATCCGGCGATGCATACAGAAATTAGTGACACGGCTCTCATGATACACCGTATGTAGCTTAAGTTATTTACGGTTGATTATTTTGGGTATAGCCTGAATGGCATGGTGCCACACGACGGACGTTGGTGACTGGATGCGCTAATTCCAAACCTTTGCTAGTCGGTTTGATCTGAGGCGCTGCACATCGAATAACGCTTCAGCCCGCTTGAAAAGGCAAGTCTACTACACCGTGCATTACCTGCTTTCGCAGGTCATCAACCACTTCGACTGGATAAGAGGTGACGGTGAAAGGGCATGTGATCTTCTCCCATCACAGGCATCCTTTGTGAACAGAAGATTCAACAGCACTGAACACTAAGCCAGGCAAGAAGGGATTGTTAACAGGATCTCATGCGAGTGCACAACAGCCATGGAGATGGGAGGGCCCATCCAGAACTGGAGGAAGCAAAAGCGAACGCTGAACAGAAACAACACGACGCGAACGATGACGATGCCGGTCAATGTACATGGCTGCACAGTTGCACAGCAGTGCAAACCTGTTCTCTGACATGTCAAGCACTCTAGCCAACTACCTCAGTCACACTCCCACCCAGAAGTTCTCCCCTAAACCCTAAACCCTAAAACCCTTGACCGAAACCCTGCCTGAGTGTGTTGATTCTCCATGCCCAGACAGGCGAGTGCGCGAGCGACAACCACCTGCGCCTGGATTCCCACTGGATTCCCACAAAACCGTGCTGGGAGGGTTTAAGGTTTAGGGTTTCCGAGTCCTACATGGAGTCCTGGGGAATATAGGGGCCTTTAATGTTTGAAACAGGGTTTTGGGGTACAATATATTGTGGTCATGCATTATAAACCAAATCCCAAAGGCAAAACCCACCCCCCGGACCCTATCTCGTGCAGCTTTCTGCTGGTTAATTATCTGAAGATTCAGTAGGGCTTTGGGTTTAGGGTTTAGGGTATTGTTTTGGGGGACGCAGGCTGGCTGAGGACGTTGTGTAGGTTTGAAACCCACCTAGTAACTTGGCCAGACACGTCGGGCCTCTAAATCCAAGCGCTTGCCCATGTGCTGGTTGAAGCAGTCCTGATTAAGGTTTAGGCATTGCATGGGGTCTGGGGTTGCTGCTAGAGACAAGGACCACTACGATGTCAACTTGATATTGGGGCCTTCGGTCGTTGTCAACTGCAATGCTGCAAAGATACGTGGGTGTTGGGCGCTGGACACTGGAAGGAAGTACGCATAATTTATGAAAGACAGCAGGAAAGTTGCTCAGAACCCGGATCTGCTTGTACAGACGCAGGAACACCGACTCCTGCGTTCGCCTTCCATGACAGCAAGATGGTGGATTGCTGGGGAAGGGCTTAAACGACACGAAAGCAACGCGCCGTCAGTCCTTCAAGGCAGATTGCAACTTCCGTCGCCGGTGGAGGTGTGCTGCGACTTGTGCACGACTCCTGACAATCTCAGCAAACGATCATCAAAGAACGGTGTTGAGCTCCAGCTCTGCTGATTGCAGCAGAAGAACAAGCTAATTGGATGACCAACGGTGGTCTTGGGAGAAGGTATGACGTGCTGAGTCTCCGGGCGACATACACGCAGCGGAAAGCCCTCCCCACGTGATATCCGAACCCTCAGTGTGAGATGTCGTCACTGCCCCGACCGTGCCTTGATTTCTGAAAAAACCGTCCACCATCCTTGTTTCGACGTCATTCTCTCTGCATGCAGACTCGAACCCGACCCGAAAGGGTGCAGACCCCTCTTGTCCGCCGGGGCAAGCAAGATGACACGACCTTTGCTAGTGCCGTGGGGTGCCCGGTGATTCAAGATGAAGACCCTTTGGGATCAGTGTCGAGTGTGGCGAAGCGGACCATGGCGACGACAGCTTAAAATGCTGAGGGTCATGATGGTACAGGTGCTGGAGATGAAACTGATGATGATAGCGATGATGTGTATCGAAGGATGATGACGCTGGTCCCTTCATTGATGCAAAACCCTGTGAACCTCACCAGAGCCTGACCGAAACCCTCTCCTCGACGGGAGATCGCCGAGGCTTTCCAGCAATCCCACCATCCTGTGGCCAAGTTTGGAGCTGTATTACACGTATATGATCGCATATTACGTACCATACATAGTCGTGGTGTCTACACTTGGGAGCTTGTGGGGGGGGGGGACCCTAAACCCTAAACCCCTAAACCCTAAACCCCTAAACCCTAAACCCTAAACCGCTAAACCCTATAACCCCAAACCCTAAACATGGCTCTGCACTTTTGGGGGAAAGTTGGAGCCCCAAAAGGCGGCCTCGAGGGCCTGCTGTTTACAAGAAGGCCATGCTGCCTGGGAAGACTCAGAGCCTCTGACAAGACCGTCTCGTCGTACACTCCACCAAACGGCTGTCGAGGCTTCAAATTCTTAGAATAACGTATACAGTATACTATAATATACTATAGTATACAATATTCTACTATAGTCTACTATAATCTACTATAGTATACTGTAAGGTACGATCAAAAAAAATAAAACAGTATACTATATGACAGTAGATTATCGGATCCGAGGGGCAGTAGGAGCGAGGTTTTGGACTTCTGCAAGGCCACCGGAAGGCGATCGCAAACAAGCTCCAGGAGAACTTCGTCCTCGACCTCATCGCACTTCGCTGTGTTGACACGCAGTTGTGAGCTTGAAGTTGTGAAGTTCTTATCTGTGCTCACACAGAGGTGGGGTGTTACATGTGCAGCAATCCCTCTCAAGCTCGGCACTGGGAATTAGGAATCCCCCTGTTGGGCTTATGGGATTCTGAGATATAGTTCTTGACCGACCTCCTTTCTTGGCCAAGAACCCTGAAGCGCAGCATGGATCTACACAACTAGTGTAGGTAGACTGTTGTCTTTTGAAAGGTTGATTCAGCTGATGCCTTCACTCTAACTCCTTGAACTCCACCAGAGAGATGTTCCCGACAGCATTGCTCAAAAGGACGATCGCAGCAAAGTGGGCTGCACGACGCTCGGCAACCGCAATTCGAGAGACTGGTGCCATTGACATCTGTTTCGTGGATGTGCTGCCCGAGTTGTCGAAGGCTCGGCTTGGTTCGAATGCACATCACAATTCCTCAAACGCTCACTATCGCCTATATGTGCAAATCATCCCAAGGTCTTTTCTCATAGCTTTCCATGCACCAACGAACTTCTGCAGCTAATTATGCCGCTGGTACGGCATGTCTTCGCACGCTGCATGCTGAAAATGCGAGACGGACTCCGATTGCAGCCCGAAGTCCCGAAATAAAGAACTGCTCATTCCCTAATTAAGGGTCCATGTGGCCAAGTAGCATGTACTTTGGCCTATCAAAGCAGTCCCTAAAAAAAGGTATATACTACTTGGGCACATGGACCCTTATTGTTCAGTGCCAATTCCAAATTCCCACACTGAAAGGAACCTGAGGAAACTGCCGCGCTCTCTCAATCCTTGCATCCGAATCCTAAACTTACACCCTAAACCCCGACATTGCTAACCCAACAAAAATCCTAACCTTCCAACGAACCTAAACCACAAACTCCCTAAACTCCCAGCTCTTATAATGCCCCACAAGGCCACAAGCCAAGAGACTCGGAGGTGTCGCAATGCTTCCAACAGATGCAGCACGGCCTGATTGCTAATTATATTGTTTCGACAACACAGGCATCGATCAATGATCCTGATACTCCATGTTTTTATGATGCTGGTGGAACCAGCCGAAGAGTTACTCTAACTTGTAGCTGTCTGCCCGGGAGTCAGATGCCGCGGCAAGCGGTTCTTGACGTGCCAAGGTGAATGTGCAAGCATGGTTGCTGGTACGGTTCAGGCTTTGTTTTGTGATAGTGTTGAGCAGGGCATTTCCCTCGCGGAAAGTCTAATTCTTAGGCTTGGAGTCGTTCACCCAGCACTGAACAAAACCATCACCTCTCCAATCCTTGTGTCGGCGGCTTTTCCTTTGCTGCTGAACATACAAGCCATCAACGTGGGCGGCGTAGCTGTTCATCAAGAGATGTGCTGGCTCAGATGTCGGCTT